GGAAAAGCTGCAAGGCTCACAACTAGTAGCCACTGGAGAGAGAAAGCAAATCGAATTAAGGATGACATACGACACCAGCGGATGTCCCCTTACTCTCAGAGTTCACAAATGGATCCCCTTAAACCTTAGGCTCCTGGCCTGAGAAAGACATGTGACTGCTTTAAACAGGGACCAACAAAGTCCAGGGATTAATATTTTCTCTGACTGTTGGTGGTCTTGGTAATTGCACAGATGTAGCAGATTGTAAATTGGAGACTTCGGTCCCCCACTAACACACTGCTGGGCAGTCACGACCCCTCCTCACTTAGTTAAAATCATGGCTGAACCTTAATGAGAAGCTAAAATAGGGCAAACTTGTTTTTTGGCAGTGCTGTCCCTGATAAAGAGGGACTTAGGAAACTAATTCAGCACAGATGTGCGCAAACTGAAACTTCATCCTGGAAAAACAAGTCTTAAAGATATTGAGCTGCTCTTCGGCCTGGTGTCTCCACCAAGTGATTTGCACGTGGGGGTACAGTGAGTTTCTCAGTGTGAATTTCTGGAAGCAGGCACGAAAGTAAGGCAGTAGTCGCAAACAAACATATAACTTGAAGGAACAGTTACGCACACTTTCTGAGCTGCGCTGTGCAAGTTTTGTGTGCCGTTATCAGCAATTATCCAGTGACCCTGGTAATTACTCTTTTGGGAGCCCTCTATTCAGTTCTGTCTCCAATGCACTGTTTTCCATGTCTAACCAAATAGGGGTGTTTCACGTTTAAATATAAAGCATCTGGTTATCTCCATGTATATTTTCTTATAAATTAGCTGAGCTAGGAAAATCAGTCCGGTTGGGTTGTTTCCAAAAGCTGTCAAGATCTGTCAAGGACATGGGGTTGGGCCTGAACAACAAGGTGATCTATCGGGGGACTCGGGAACCGAAATAAAGTGCCCTTCACCTCTAGGTCAGTGGTTCATAGGTGAGCTTAGCTGGAAATAACTGATAGTTGTTACCATTCAAGGACTTGTTTGAGTGGTGTAGGAGAAAAATGCTCGTGGTCACTCGATCTCAGAAGGTATAATGCATCCTTGTTGAGAGGGCTATCACAAAGCTTGCCCGCCACTCACGGCACAGGTTTGATGGCCCTGTACTGCATAGTCGTTGGGATATCCTCCGCACAGGATGAATTTCATTCCTGGTGAACAACTGCCCCAGCCTCGTGAGCAGCAAAGACAGAAAGGCCAAGAACTGAACGGGAATGAATGAGTTTCTCGCTTAACTGGGGAGTCCCTCAATAATTGGCTTGACGCTCACAGGTTGGTATGTGGGGAGATGCTTTCATTATCACTGTGTTTGCCATGGCTACTATGCAGATAAAGAGAAATCCTGAGTTTCCACGAGGTTCAAACAAAGCCTTTTTTCCAAAAGGAAAAGCACTCAGTGGAGGTCTGGGAGCAGAAACCCTAGGGGCAAACTAGTATCTCAGAGGCTGTATCAGGGATAACTTCAAGGTCAGAAGTTGGCACCCAGTCAGTAAATATGTAGACACTAAAAACAAATGCGGATCCCCCTATGTCCTGCAAGAGCCAAAGGTCTCAGCCTTTGAAGTTTACTTAACAAGAACTCTGGGCATCTTCAGACCACTCAAAACATAACCTGGACCTTTCGCTCCGGACTAAAGACTATACCAGTGACACCCTTTGAAGCAAAAAGGTCAGGGGGGCGGGAGTGGGGAGGTGGGTTTGCTTACTCTTCCAAATTCCTCCTTCTCAGACCCCCTCGACTCTAGTCATGGCTTTGAAAGGCAAACATTTCAACCAAAAGGAGAGAAATCAGTGCTTTGTGGATTTGGAAGGAATTCATATTATGCTACAGTAATTCTGGTATCTGGGTTACATCTGAAAAGGAGGTTGGAATGACTTGAATTTTCCATCTCTTCTGCCATAGCAAGGAAGCTGTTTCTTCCATCACTTGTTAGCCATTTATACCACTCAACAGCAAACAGCTGCACGTTTCTATTTTCCTTACCAAGTTACTTTTGTTGTGGGTGCCGGGAAACCTATACAGAAAACATCTATTTCTGTCCGGGCTACTTCTGGGGTTTTTTTTTTTTTCCCCCTAACTGACCTGCCATTTCATGTTAGAAAACTTAAGGATTATATTTCCAGTTTTGGTTCCAGCTCTTGTATTTGCCACTGGCTTACTGCTGATCAGAAGCAGATTCTGTGTGGAGCCGACACGATGGTATGTCAGGCAGTAATGTGAAAATGAGAGGGTTTCTCATTTTATTTTATGGCTTTTCCAAACTCAGGGGTAATTCACCTGCAGGGTAAAATTCCTTCATGTTTACTAATTTTTCATTTTTTTTCCCCCTGAGCGAACAAACAACAAATTGTTGCTGACCGTTTTTTTTGCACGTGGCCGAATGAATCCACTGGATAGGCAAACAATGGTTGAAATTTGGCTTTGCGTACTCTCTAGCTGCAGGAAACCTGATAGTGTTCTTGGAGATGAAGACAAGAAAGCCAAAGGATAAGTTGGAAAGGGAATCAGCCACCCGTTTGGCAGACCAAACAAAACAGATATCCTTGACCCATGTCCCTGTGAGCATGCCTTGGCATGAGAGGGAATGCCACTGAGATGCTATAATTTACAAAGCAGATGACAGGACAGCACTGCTGAAAGGCTCAGATGGACTTTCAAAGCTTTCTCCAAAAAGAAAAGTCTTACAGGGCAAAAGTCTTCCTGGGAGGGTCAGCACAAGACCCCTCCGTAGAGACTAAGCTGGGATGCTCTGCCTTATGGCTTGCAAAGTCCTGGGGAGGATTCACCAGATTCATTAGCGTGACATTGCCACATGGGCTGTGACTGCCAGGGTCCCAATTCCCCTATGGAAATGACCTTGGAGTACAAGGAATGGCCAATTCATGTGAGCAACTGCTTGAACAACCAGGGTGGGTGTGAAGCGATGGTGTAAACCCATAGGCATCATTTCATCCTAAGCACAACAGCCGCTTTGTTGCTTCTACGACGAAGAAGGAAAAGCAAGGGAGCCTGACTTCATTTCTTTAACTTCCCCACTTGCTTTAGCTGGCAGAACCAGGACAACAACTGACACCCCCAGGGAAACACCTGAGGACTGCGTGCAGCAGGTGTAAGGGAAACTTCATGACTTTTCATAAATGCTGGGGGATTTCCAATCCAGATAAAAATGCCTAAATCAAAAAGAAAGGCCAGATGTTTCATTCTGTGCTCTGTGCCAGACCAAGGGGAGGTTGTGGGAAGTTCAAAGCAAACTCTGACCCCACCCCGAGTCCTGAGGGAGCTTGAGCCTGGCACCCAGGTAAATTCAAGCAGCCTCAGCACTGCTTTAATTAATGCTGGCAGCAATGAATCCTTGGGACTCCTTGTTGCAGCTTGGGGTGCAAAGACTTTTGCCCGTGCCCACCTCCCTCTGCAGTGAGAGTGGGAAAGATAAAGAAGGTGGCATAAACTTAAGTCGATGCCAACTTGTGCCCCACATCCAGGTTACCCCCATTGGTATCGTGATAATGGTGCCAAAGGGCAAGAGAAGGGGTCAGGGATCTGCCACATTCAGAGGAGTTATTTTATTGAAGTGAAAGGTGGAACTTCACTTCCCGGTGGTGGTAGAGAAGCCTGTTGAAATTCAGTAATATTTCACCGGGGTGATATCAGGCTGTCAGACCTCCCTGGGGTCTGCTTGGGCCACTGTGTTTTCATTAAACAAAGGATGGATGCAAGACGGTGCCACGCAGCTGACTCCACCAGGGCTGTGTTTGGCCCATCAGCTGAACCAAAGCATAATCCCTCAGCACAACAGTGGGAAATTTGATACGAAAAAAGAAATCAAAAGGGATTGAAAAGGTGAGACAAGATCACAGCCAGAGAAATAGCTGTTTCTTCTGGTTAAAATCTGGGTAACCCTTTCCCCCCGCCCAGTAGGTTTAAATTGCCCTTTAATATATGTAGAGTTTACTATGTGTTAAAACCTAATGCTACCTCTGAAACTTTTCCATGCAGTGGTTGCCTGCAAAAGCACAGTCTTTTTCTAAAAAAAAAACAACTGCGTGAAATATGGAATAGGTAAATACCACAGGAATTACTCGAATTTGGATGAGACATGCCAACTCTGTATTGACACTGAATCTTTTGCTTCTATAGTGTATACTTACTGGAAGGTGAGCTAGATCTTAAGCTGGGGAGTTTATAAGTCTTGCCCAAGCAGTTTTTTTTACTTGTTTATAAGCTTCAGAAGTCATCTTAAGTCTTTCCACTGTAAGTTTTCGTTTGCACGTGTGCCAAGTCTTGCTTGCGATGAACGGCACAGGACATTTACACCTCATGGCGAGTGCAATCCACAGCCCTACAACTAAGCTCACCCACATTGCCAATCTGGCGTGGAGAAGACAGCGGCAGTCCGGGTCTCTACGGTTCCAGTCCATTTCCTGTTCGAGTCAACAGGAACATCCCCACTGACTTCAGTAAGAGCTGCACCAGACGTCACGCCTGCTCGGGTCTTTGCTTCGACGGTCCGTATGCACGACTGTGCTTATTTGTGGAATGTTTTCGCGAGCACGAGGCATTTTGTACAAAACCGGCTAATCAGCTACTAATTACCCCGCTGATTATTAACTCCCGGTTAATTCCACAATAAATAAATAAATAAATCAATCCACCCGTGTGTCTTCAATAACAATGGATTTTACATCTGAACAGCCGACCTCGAGGTGAAAGGCTCCCTCTCCTATTACCAATCCCTTAAGCCATCCTTTCATGTTATTGGGGGTGCAGGATTGTTCACTTGTTCAAAGCAAAGTCCTAATTCTGCATCCTTACCGAGGACTTCCGAAGGAGAGATTTTCTGGCACAGTTCTTTTGTGTGGACTGCCTGAGCTATTTGCAACCAAGTGCTACCGGTATTCAATTAAGGATTAAGTCGGCATGTAGGACAAGATGAGGATGCTACAGCATCAAACCAGTTGTATGGATTCATTTTACTTACAGCGAGGATGGCGATGAGAATGCCTGCAGCGCAGAGCACGGCGTCATTAATCGTCTCGCCTGTTTTCAAAGGGTACTTGATGCTGTCGTCGTTACAGTAGAAGCCCCGCTTATACGGTGGAATCGTGCTGGTTTCAATGATCAGGAAGGGCAAGCCAGCTAATCGGGGGAGAAGAAAATAAAACAGAAAAGAAAAAAGCCCCAGCATCAGTAACACGGATAAATATGAATGAGCCGAGCAAAAAGACCCCGAGGAAAACAACTCAGCACAGCACTGATATTGCTTTTCTGACAACGTTTCCAATGTTAGGAATTATTTTTACTATGTTTCTCCTGGGATAACCTATGGATATCAGAGGCACACGCTGCCTACTCCCAGTTAAGTCTTGCATGTTGCAAATATTAACTTACAGGAATGAATGCCAACATCATCCCTCCCCACCCCGCCAGAAGCAATGGAAAGGAATGCGATGTTATTCTCTACAGAGGGCTTGATGCTATAAATACACCACCAAAATGTCTCTTTCTCTCGTGACATGCTGCAGGAGGAGTTACTGTATAAGCAAGCAGGAAAATATCAAGATATGGTAAGCTCAATCTATACTACCTTTGATACTGCATTAAACCCCCGCCCCCCAAGCTGTTTTAACATGGTCTGTATTTATTTGTATCTAAACAGGTTTCCAGTTCAAGCTTGCTTGCTGGTAGGAGAAGGTACACATATAGACATCTACAGAGCTATCTTTTCTTATTCTGAACCCCACTCAGTG